TATACGAAGTTTAGATGTGAATTTTATCTATCAAGCACCTTCCCTGCAGCTATATAGTTTACTTGATAGTTTACATTACAGGTATTGGACATCAGAATCTGCTGAGGTTGTAATATAAAGTATAATCACTACAACTACAATACAGGAAAATTCTTACAAATGTTTGCTTAGACTACCAATATACATTACTGTTTTCTTTTTTATTATTTTAATTTTAAATAGCTTGTTTTACATGTCAATCCCAGTTCCCTCTCCCTCCCCTCCTCCCGCACTCCCCCACCATCCTCCCCAGCCTCCCACCCTATTGCCAATTCCTTCCACATAGGGGATATCTGGAGTCTGTCATTTCACTCAGGGTAGGGTCCAGGCACTCCACTAAGAGTCCAGGCTGAGAGAGCATCCCTCTTTGTTATGGACACACGATGTCTGTTTGTATTCGAGGGATAAACACTGATCCACTGCTCAGGGCCCCATTGGTTGCCCAGGCCTCCTCACTGACACTCACATTCAGGGGGTCTGGATCAGTCCCATGCTGGTCTCCCAGCTGTCGGTCTGGGGTCCAAGATCTTTCCCCTGTCTGGATCAGCTGTCTCTGCTGGTTTTGCCAGCCCATTCTTTGCCAATTTGTTCACTGCTCCTCTCTCTCTGTCGCTGGGTTCCTTGGGTTCAGTTCAGTGTTTAACTGTGGGTGTTCGCCTTTGCTTCCATCAGTCACTGGATGAAGGCTTCAGGATGGTTATAGACATCAAGTTCATTATCAAGAATGGATTCCTCAGGAAAATGAGAATCAATCTACAACAAGACCCAACAATTCCACTCTTAGGCATACATCCATATGAGGCAAATTCATAGAACAAGGGCATCTGCTCTACTATGTTCATAGAAGCATTATTTGTAATAGCCAGAACCTGGAAGCAACCTTGATGCCCCTCAACTGAAGAGTGGATAGAGAAAATCTGGTACATTTACACAATGGAGTATTACTCAGCAGAAAAAAAAAAACCAATGGCATCTTGAAATTCGCAGGTAAATGGATAGCACTGGAAGAAACCATCCTGAGTGAGGTAACCCAGTCACAAAAAGACAAACATGGTATGCACTCACTCATATATGGATTTTAGACATGGATCAGGATAGTGCCAGTCTGCACTTCCACTGACAGAGAGTCTGGGAAACAGGAAAGAACCTAAAGGATATGCATGGTACACAAGAGAAGAGAAATGAGGCAAGATCCTCTGAACAGATGTGGAACATGGAGAGGGGTGGGGAGGAGTGGGAGCTGGGAAATAGAGAGGGGGAGAAGTAGAAGAGAGAGTAGTTCATGGGGGAACAGGAAGGTTGAGTGGGGGGGTAGGATAGGGGGAAGAGGGAATCATAGGTTAGAAAGCAGATCAGGCACCATTGTGGCCTCCAGTGATCTAAAGGGATGACACCAACTGGCAAGCTAAGCAATAGTGGAGAGACCACCTCGAATACATTACTGTTTTCTTAAGGGTCATATATTTTCAGCATACTTAACTGGATAAAGTCAGAACCCAAAACTTGTTGGTCAAAAATAAATTAATGAAGTAAAAGAATGACTCCTAATTCTATCCTGTTATTCACATAGATCAGTGGCTTGGTCAACTATCACCAGAGAAGTTTCCTCCTATAGGAGAAGGGAACAAATATAAAGGAGTACTAGCAGACAATGCATAGCTATTGAGATATTGGAACACTCAGCCCTAAATGCATTGTCTTCATGAATCTCTCCCCTCTGAGCTCAGGGAACCCTCAGCCCCCTGAATGTGAGTGTCAGTGAGGAGGCCTAGGTAATCTATTGAGCCTTGGGCAGCAGTTCAGTACCCACCCCGAGTATACACACGGACTTTGGACTCCCATCCAACAATGTGAGGTGCACTCTCACCCTGAACTCTTGGGGAAGGGTCTAGGCCCTGCCCTATATGAAATGACAGACTATGGACAATCTCATGGAGGGCCTCACCCTCCCTGGGGAAATGAGGGGATAATGGAGGGGTTGGGGGAGGGCAAACGAGGAGGGGAGGGAAAGGGAGAGGGACCTGGAACTGACTTGTGAAGCAACCTTGTTTCTTATCTAAATTTAAACTGAAAAATAAATAAATAAAAATAAATAAATAAATAAATGCTTCATGAAACCACAAGAAAAAAATAAAAGATCCAGAAACGATGGAGGGCATCGAAAGTCACAAAACTAAGGCAGCATATGCAGGGCCTCCATGGTCTGTCCCAGGTCCTCTACATACTATAGCTACTGCTTTGGTGTTTTTATGTTATTTCTGTGTCTGCAAAAAAGTAGATTTCTGATACTTGTGTCTTCTTTTGGGTTCTTTTCCTTCTGTTGCTTTGTCCTATAGAACTATGATGTGATAGTTTTTGCTTTTCTTATTACATTTAACACTGTTATTTTTTTTAAAATATGAATGAATAAATGAAAACCTAGCTATTAGAATAAAGGTTAGGAGCTGAACTGTGAATAATACCTGCTCAGAGAGAGGGCAAATTAGTTTTCTTCAATGGAGTGAAACTAGGTATGTTTTCCAGAGCAGTCCTCATGTTCAGGAGTAGTTGGCCAACATATAATGGTCTACACAGTTTTTATGTGCTCTTATTTGGTTACAGTTTGGTGAGTAGTTTTTGTTGGTGGTGGTGTTGAGGGGTTGTATTGCATTATGTTTTTGTTCTATTGTTTCTATTATTTAGAAATAAATTATGTAGGTGGGTAAGGAGGTGGAGAAAGTCTGGAAGAACTTTGGAAAGAGAAAGAATATTATTAAAGTATATTTAAATTTAAAAATTGTTCTAAATAACAAAAACAACCACAAATGCGTCTGCTCAATCCAAATTTGACATAAAATGAATAATTAGCAAAATGGAGGCATGAACAGTATTAATTTGAAAATTTCTAAGTTTGAAAAATAATCTTGGCTGATAATTGACAAAAATGCTTGCTAAGCTCAAACACCAAGAATTAATGAAGAGACAATAGAAGTTATAATAATAACCAGTCAAATATTATTAAAAGTCAATAAATTAAATGCTAATTCTTATAATAAAGAAGGAAAGCCTAAGCCAGATTAAATCACAGCATGGAAATGAGACTTGGACACAAAATCTCACCCTTACCTATGATAATATTGGCAATTGTTATCATCTAGGAGAAGGAAAGTTTTCTCTAAGGTTTTTCTTACAAGTAAGTCAACCCTGTACCTTCTGAAAAACACACAATCAAGGACATTTGGACAGCAAAAGCCAATCCTAATGGGCTTTATAGAGTGGATATAGATGGTTGGAGTGAACCTGAGAAAAATTTGGACATGTGAATAAGATAAAGCATGTTATATGAAAAATTTCACAGAACTAGTAATAATATTTCACTATATTAAAATTATATAAAGAAGGCGTTACAAAGGATTGTACAATTGGAAAACTATAAATTTATTACACACTGAAACTTTTTAATGTAAAATGAAAAATATAGTGTGGTTAATATACCCAGTATCACTCCATTGACGAAAACTGCCTTTCCCTCTTCCAACACTATCAGCTGAGAATAGCTTCTCGGCTGATGTGAGACTCTATCTATTTCCCTTCTTCCATGATGGGGTTTTGTGCAAGTCATATGCATAATTAAGTCGGACTTGATGTAACAAAATACATCATATAAAATTGTAGGTTATGCATTTTTATTTGCTCAAACTGCTTTTAGACTTTACTATTTAATTTGTATTTGATGTTTACAAAATGATCTCAATTAACCTCATGTAAAATTCAATTTTTGAATTATAATCTTCTTTGTAGCTCTATAAAATTATCGCATGATTTTACAAAATTTATAATAAATAGTGATTCATACATTCACAAAGAAGATTTTTTCCAGGAAAAATCATCCACTACTTGAATAATACCACTTTTAAAACCATTTATCATTTTAATTCAAATGTAAATGGCAGGTTATAATTAATTTAACATAACTATTTACAAGCCATGTTAAACATTGCCAGAAATGAATGAACCAAGCATCAAGGCAATGTATAAATCTTTAAACATTTATTTTCTTGATATAAAATTTACCATTCTGTTTCAGAGTGGGCAAGAGCATTATGTTGAGGTATACTAAATGGAAATATAGAACAAAACTTCTAAGGAGATGACAGGTAAACACAAATTTTCAGGTTATGATGTGAATAACTCCCCATCGTTAAATAGTCAAATTTCAGAGTGTTGTATAAATAGAAATCCCCTGGATGTCCACATGTACTATTTCATAAATTATTCTTAACACCACTCCTGCAGATGGAATTTGTGGAGCCTCTTTTCCCATTGTATGTCTTCTTTTTTTATGGGTGTGTTTCACTGTGATGTTTCTGTGTGTGGATGTTGTGTTGTATGTGAATGCATGAAACAGGCAGAAGAAGAAGACAGAAGGCTTCTTCTGACTGATAACACTCAGCCTTATCCCTTTAAGTCAATGTTGCTCCTTGAGCCTGGATCTATTCTAGCTGACAACAAGCCCCATTGACCCTCCTGTCTCAATCAAAACAGTGCTGAGTTTATAGGCATGGGTACTGGGGACTTGATCTCAGTTCCTTATGCTAATGCAGTAAGTGTTTTTATTCATCATCCAGCACAAAATTTTCTATATTTCCCTGTACAATTGTAAAATACTAACTATTCTTCTTATTTTAAAAAGTAGATCTCTATATTTCTAGGACATAAAAACATTAGGATCCTAAAGAACATTTTTGTATTTTGTAGTTTGACACCTTCTCATTGTCAGTACATGTCTTTATCTATTTTCTTTTGCATTTACTAGCTAGCACAATGAAATGGTCTCATTGGATAAAATTTCCAATATACAATTATGCTACAAATGTAATGGTAATAATAACAGCCCTTACTAAATACCCAGCCTATTATTCTTTAATGTATAAAGAAGCTCAGTAAAAAAGGATGAAAAAGATAAATATGATACATTGGGCAGGCTCACCCTAGCAGCATATATACTAAATGTAAAATGATATAGAGAAGATTAGCATGAACCTGCACAAGGGTGACACACAAATTCACAAAGTGTTTCATATATCTGGAAGGAACATGGAGCTTGGTAGGGAGAGAAGTGGAGAGGATTTGGATACCATTGGGGATGGCAAAGGAGTATGATCAAAATATATTATATGAATAAAATTAAAACAATTTTTGAAAAATATTAGATACCAACAACTCATTGACCAGTTAGCAGACATACAGAGAAGTGTTGACATTCCGTTATGTACCTTGAAATTTAAATCTAGAGACTTGGTTTTACTGAGACAAATGTTAGCATCTTATGAAATTTAAAACGATATCTGACTTTCAGAGAAAATAAAATGACTTGATTGACTTATTTAACTAACAGGTTTTTTTACTGATTTAAAAATTTGGTGTGGGATTTATGTTTACATGTATTGGTGGATGCTTGTAGTTAGGGTTGAGGTTTACTTATGCACCTCTGCAGATGGTATAGAGTCCAGAGAGAGGGGAAGGAAAGAGGGAGGGAGGGAGAGAGAATCTACATGTATCTTCTTTTATTGCCTTCAGGGAATTATTTCTTGCAATGTCTCTTACTGACCTCTATTTGAACTAAACTGTTTGGTCAGAGTACTAGGGAGATCCTACCTATTCACACTCTCATGGTATCCCAGTATGAAAAGCACTTTCAGTTTCTGAATCACTGTTATTTGAAATTCCTGAGGAAAGATTTTCTACTGTACCAGTGTGTGATCATCACCCCTTTATGAACAGTTGCTGCTTCTACGTCTAATTATTATGACAAATAAGAAATAGTTGCTTCAGTTTTACTTTGTCATCGTTATGTAACGTTAAAACATGGAAATTGCATAACCAAGAATAATGCTTTACTTATTCTCTAAGACAGATCACAACTGTCATTTACAAAACCTGCTTTTATATATATATTTAAGTTAAATAGTCATAAAAGTCAGCATGCCATAAAAACTCATTATCTAAATCTTGTCATTTTGAGAGGATAATTAAATATTTAAAAATAGTTGTTTTGCATCTTCATTTGTCTTTATTTGTATAATAAACTGGTAATACATTAAAAGATGTGTAGTTGTTTTGTTGAAATCACTTCAGGGTATGAGGAAATGCCTCAGTGGTTAAGACTAAGAGAGAGATTCAGCACCCGGGATATTATGATTGCTGTAAATATCTTCTTAGCTTTACCTATTCAATATTTATCCTTTCCCAAATTCCTATTAATAATGATGTTTTTCCAGTCCATTATTTTTCCTTTCTAACAAGAGTAAGCATAAATTGTAAATCTGCAGTCTTTTCAAATGGGCTGTAATATGCACTTAAGTTTAACCCAGAGCTTTTGATATCTTCATACTTCACTTGTTTTTATTGTGGCATGATATTCTATTTATAATTGCACCACGAAGGACATCTTTTTATCCTTGTTCTTTGGCATTTAGGTATAAACAGACAAACAAAAGAGAAAGCTATGAAACCCATTCCAAGTCTATATCTACAAAAGAGTCCTGAACTTAATACTCAGGAAGCATTGTAGTTGAGTGGGTAGGAAGATTGTAATAGCCAGAAGTTCAGGAAATTTCCTGTGAGATTAGCTTTCCTCAAAGGATCAAGAACTATACCTAACAATTCTCACCTACTTGACTTTCTAACCATAAGATGAACAAGCATGACACCAACAAACTTGTCAAACGGGATAAGGAAAAGCTTACAAGGCCTCAACATTACACAAAGAACTATAGTCAACTAAGTACAACTGAGAGTAGTAGATGTGGCATTCCCCAGGCAAAAAAAAAAAAACAAAACAAACTGTAATTGGTTTTCCATGGCTAAATGGTCATCTCTGAAAACATAAAAACAAGTAAAATCATATGGACTCAATAGGCTATATTTAGGAATGTATGTGCTCACTACATAATAACCAAGACCCCAAATATACAGAATAAAGAATGAATATTAAGAGCAGCTAAGGAAAAAGTCAACCTTAATCAGTTATTGACTGGCAGAATGGGTTTTCTTTTCTGCATATACAAATCCAGAACCTCATTCCTGATAAGGCAGATCTTTATCACCCCACTACATAACCAGCACAATTTCAAATTACAGTAATTTCTGTTGAGAATTTCTTTATAACTGTGAATTTTTAATTAAGATAGTGTTCTGTGTACACATAATAAATTATGAGGTAAGTTCATAGTAATCCTGCTAAATTAGAAATATTTTACAGTTCTAATTAACAGTGTGAAAATATTTCTGGTTAAACATCTCAAGGGTTGCTTCCAAGCTTACAAATATATTTTATAGCATAATTTTTATTTAATTTCATGTCATAGATATAAACTTTATAATATATATCATCTTACGTTTATTGTCTTAAATCGTTTACATACTACATTCAATCATAGATTTTCAACTACCCCAACTCTACCTATATCATCTGTGCCTCACTACCATGCTTCAAGTTTTTCCTTCCTCAAAATAAATAAATCTTCAAATGTAAAAAAAGCAAACAATAAAAATACACTGTACCAAAGATATCAAATCATGAAGCTGGACTGATGATTCAGTAATTAAGAGTACTGGATGCTTTTCTGCAGGATCAGGGTTCAATTCCCTGAAACTATTGGGAGATTCACACACAAAATAAGAACACACAGAAACAGAGAATCTCTTTGGTGTTGGATAACTACTCATGGGGACAGTTTATACCCTGAAGTATGATTGATACAAACACTCCATTGGAAAAAAAATAGATTGTCCCTCTCTCAATGGGTCTTAATAAATTTTAGAGATAAAACTTTGTGCCAGTTTCCTCTCTCCTGCTAGGTTTTGGTCTGCTTTGAACTGTTGAAGGTTGTATGTGTTATTAAAGTCTTTGTGAATTCATGTATGTATTAGTCATTTTGGGCCTGGAAGAAATTTTTCCCTTACAATTCTCCATCACCTCTGGCTCTTAAAATCTTTCTGTCTCCTCTTCCACATTGATCCCTGAAGATATGATAAAGATAACTCAAAATTATCTCATTTTGCACAGTGTCCATATGTGTATCTCTCTAGTCTTTACCATCTACCAGGACAAAAAGATTATTTCATGAGAATTGAACCACATGTTAAACTGGCAGCCACATGTAGAAGTTGTGTGGTCCCTGGTTCTGCAAGTTGGCTGGATGTCACAAATGAGTGGAGATGGGCTAGGATAAATGGCTGAAGGTGACAGTAAGAAGAATTAGGGAGACTGGGCAAGAAGCACAATTCCAAGTGGTATTAACTGACCATTATTCTATTGCAGCAGAAACATGCACAGCATGGAACTCATCCTTCACTGGATGTGGGGTCATAACTTTTACTTACCGATACTTAGTACAATACTATCATGAAGTGTTTATTTCTATACCTTACAGTGAATAACTTTTAAAATCAAATGTCAAAACCCTGTGTAACTACATGGTACATTCTACAACATTTCTAACTGACCAAGGTAAACTTACTTTTTTTAGCGATTTTTTTCACAAATCTAAAAGTATCAAAATAAAAGTATTGAGATTAAGTTATTTTTTAACGTTAGAGGTCATATTCTGAATTAGTGTTTGATTATGTGAGTTAATATTTTGATGTTTTAATAATGTAGTTCTGACAATTCATAGTTTTTCATTTTTAAAATATTTTGATTCAATAAACATACCAAATACAGAGACTGATGTTAGGTTCAAGCTTCAAGTTGAAGATCAGAAAAGGAAATCAACCAGCCACTATCTCTCAATTATAGCTCAGGGTGAAGGGGCTGATACACACACACAAGCTCTTCACTAAGTCTTAAACTGCTGCCTCTCCTCAGTGTGGCTACAGAATGAATGCCTCTACTGAGACCTCGATTCTGTCTTATATACTTCCCTAATGTTGGGAGTAAAGGTATGAACTATAATTTTCTTTTGGACTCTTTCTTGTGTAGATCTTGGTGGTCTTGGACTCACAGAGTTCTGTCTATCTCTTAATCCTGAGTCCTAGGACTAAAGGTGTTTACCACCACCTCCTAGCATCTGGTTTCTGGCATTAAAGATGTGTGCCTGGCTTCTATGGCCTGTTGCTGACTTTGCTTTCTGAATCCTCAGACAAGCGCTTTAATAAATTATAAACAATATTTCACCACAGTACACCTCTCACTCTCCTCCACCTCTCCCCAACATACTCCCATCCATTCCTCAGAAAGGATTAAGCCTGGCAAGTTAAATTGGACAGAACTAAGATCTCACCACACCCCTGGGTTAAGATTGAGCAAGGTATCCCTCTATATGGAAAGGGTTTCAAAAAGCCAGATCATACCCCAGGGTTAGATCCTGGTTCAACTGCCAAGGGTCCTGCAACAGACCTAACTACATAACTATTGTTCACATGCAGAGGGCCTCGTTAATTCCCAAGCAGGTTCCCCAGTTGTAGAGTCTGTGAGTTGCCATTGCCTAGGGTCAGCTGTCTGTGGGTTTCCCTATCATGATCTTGACTACCCACTTGTTGATACAGCCCAGGTCAGGCACCATCTCCACTATTGCCAGGAATCTTAGCAGGGGTCATCCTAGTGGATTTCTGGGAGTTGCCCTAGCACCAGGTTTCTCCCTAACCCCATAATGGCTCCTTCTATCAAGATATCTCTTTCATTGTTCTCTGCCTCCATCCCTCCATCCCTCCCCCAACTCCACCATCCCATTCCCTCATGTTTCCATCCCCCTGATCCTTCCCTTTACTACCCTGCCCCCAGTATACCTAGGAGATCTCATCTGTTTCCCCTTCCCAGGATGATCCATGTGTCCATCCCTCTTAGTGTTCTCCTTGTTACCTACCTTCTCTGGAGCTATGGATTGTAGTCCAGCTATCATTTGCTTCACATCTAATATCCACTTATGAATGAGTTTGTCTTTCTGGGTCTGGGTTACCTCACTCAGGATGATTTTTTTCTAGAATAAAAATGATTAAATGCTTGCCGATAATTTTGTTGAACAATGAGTATGAGGAGTTTTCAATTTCCTTTTGTAAATGAAATAATAGCTTACTAAAAATTT